TGCTAGTGATGTAGGTAAGTGGGATATGCCAAAAATACCTGAAAGAAGCAAATATATATATAACACAGCAACATTAGTTTCTTCAGAAAAAGGGGATTAGACTGAGTTGTTTTATCTTTGTGTAGTAATTAGTTTTATACTCATAATTCAAAACATGGATTTATCTAATCATCCTGCTGTAATGGTACAAAACATCCACCAACACAAAAGATGTGTCTTTATATTTGAAGAGACGTGAACCTCCGTAGAAAATTCACTTTTATAATAAAGTTTTATTATTTTCTAAATGCATATAAAGAAATATCATATTTCAGTGGAAGCACCTTATTTCATTACTAACAGATGAGGTTTCTTTTACATTGGATTTAAGTCTGTCATCCACTCTAAAGAAAGACAATCCTCATTCTCTCTCCACTACCTGCTGAGAAATTGAGAATATATCTAACTGCTTCCTGTTCCTGTATAGTCCTCTACAGAATTTCCCATTATAGGAATTCATATTTTTTTTTTACCTCTGAACAAACCTTACATGTCTACCAGCTGCTGATCACCAGCCATGGCAATGGACTTCAGCGGCTCATCCTTATCAAGACAGGAAGAACACTTGTACAGAATAGATGGTTCAGTAATTCTCATGTCACATGCCATATCTACTGCCTTTCGCATACATCATATCAGTTCTTGATAAGTAAGCTTCCTGCCTAGGTTGACCTAAATTTATTTCAGAGCAATAATATGATATTCAACTCCACAGTTTTGGGTACGTCCTCCTATACCACAAGCTATACATAAATAGTGTTATTACATTTAGGTAATGGAGATACCTTGACTGCAGATTAGCCCATTCAGGATCTTCTTCAAAGACACCCTTCAGGAAACGCTCCTGTCGCAATTTAATGGTGTTTCCTTCACATTTTACAAGAACTAGTGGGATTCCTTTCTGATGTGTCCAAGTGTTCATCATTTCTTTGATCTCTGTAAGACTTCCATCATGACTGAACTGAAATTACCACAGACAGAAACTATATTCAGTGAACCACTGGCAGTCTGAGCAATCAGAGCTGGCAATCAGAGAAACTCTGGTTGATTTTTGGCTCTAAGAGCAAGCCATGACTAAGCAGCAAGTTTGCATACTACACAGGGAAACACAACAATGTTTCTCCCCACAAACAGGATGGTTGCATCCAAGATGTTTGTGTAGCAAATAATAATAAAATAATATGTTTACATTGTGGAAGCCATACTCTAAAAATGCTAGTATAGACATTTTATGGACCAACAAAATTAAGTATCACAAGTCTCCCTGTTACCTTCTATATCCAAAGGACAGTGAATATTTCTGTAAACCTCCTATAGATCTCTTTCTACTTAGAGCGTAAGAAAAAAATCTTATACTTTAAGACATAAAAGTGGGAGACAGGGAACCTGTGTTCTGTTCCTGGCTGTGCCTTCCTGTTTGATTTTGGGCATTATAATAACAACTTGCTGCAAGGCCCAATCTTCAAAAGTGAGAAGCACTTTTCCTCAGTTTTGGGTTTGGCCATAGTGTGTCCAAGAACCTGGCCCACCTTTGCCAATACGTGTGTGTTTTCCAGAATAAAATGCATCATGAAACAACATAATAAAAAAAAATCAACAGAATTCAATTCACTAAACAACAATCCATTGGTCAGAATGTAAATTACAGTGGGCTTTTTATGATGACGACATCTTTTCTCGTAAAATATGGCCTATTTTTTCCTCCTGTTGTCACTGCAAGCATATCTCTAGTGAGAACAGAGGACAAGTACCACTGTTCTAGATGAGATTCAGGGAGCACATTTTTTACATGCAAAGGATCTGGAGCCATTTCCCCCAAGCCTGAGTGCATCAAGTCAAGTACAAGATCAGAGACTGCCAATCGGATGAACTAGGATACAACATCCAAGCCCTGGAGCCAGCAATAGGATATATTGATATATGAACATCTTGCCAGTTTAATGTTTTATCTTCCAATATTCTACTTACTGCACTGCTAATGGGTCTGGAAGCAGCAAAGCAAAAACTTCCAGAAGATAAATCACCTTCAGGACAAATCTGTAAAAGTAAAAGGCAGATGAATATTTTGAGAAAGTTAAATTAATGTCAGAGTAAACAGCAGAGAGAGGGAGAAACAGACAGGCCAATCAAAACATGTGATGAATCTGAAATTACAAAAGGCACTATTTACTGGTAACAGACGCTTGGCAGCACACCTTAAAAGTCTGTCATTTGAACATGTGCAATAGCTATGTATTCATGTAGATAAATTTACCAGTGTCAGACAAAATGCATCTATAAATTAAAATGTCCCCATATTTTACATTTCTACTCTTATCACTGTTAGCATATGGGGGGGGATAACATAAACCTTCTCAAATATATAAAACACATACAGTAGAATCCATTTTCCCAGCACTCATATAAATGGTACATCTGCTTATCTGGGAAGAAGCCAGAATACAGATTCACTGTGATGCATTTCAGTGACTAACAAATGGACTAATGATGCATTTAGGACTAAACCTGTGAGCAAAATTTGGCCCTTAGTTGTGAAAGCTTTGCTCATCTATTAAACCAGATGCTGTATGGAGCAGTTTACTGGCATAAATATATACTAGGCAGCCTTTTACTCACATTACACTGCTTCCCCTTGTCTTATGACAGCGAAATCAATATTACGTTAACATGCATTTAACTTTTTCAATTTAATCTATTCAGCAATAAAGTAAATCTGTAAACCAGTGACACACAAGAGACAATACAATGAAAAAAATCACATGATTATGAATGTAGCTGAGACCAAGGGAAAACAAATTAAAGATGATTATATGACACCTAGTTTACCATAGTATTTACTGTATTTTTCCATGCTTTTATTTACGTGTGCACATGCGCACGCGTGTGTGTGCATGTGCATATGTGTGTATATATATGGAATTATATGTTGTATAATGCATATATAATGCATAATGTATATATAACACGGAATATTATGTATATAACAAGGAATATATATCACTCCACTGCAATTATCTAATAAAACTAATAAAACCGTGTCACTGAAGAAACAGTGGTGTGGTGTTATATAGCAATGAA